GAAGTCTAATAATCATTATTCTTTCTTTGTTTCTTTTATTTCGATTATTTTCTTGATGATGTTTTCCTGTTGAAGTTTCTCGTTGTCAGGAACATCTTGTTAGTATTCGGTCTATGTATATTTTAACTTCAATAATCAATTTATTGAATAGTTTATATATGGATGCAAATGAATCAAGCAGGGCCAAGCACGAGTTTGCTCAACCTTAAGCTTTTCTTTTTTCCCGAAATCAAGCTTGAGCTTGATTCCGATATTGGTAATAGTGTTCACGCTAGATTCATTTAAAATTATAGCTGTTTCAGCTAGGCTTGAATTTAACTCATTAACTAATCAAATGAGTTTTTTCCGAGTCTATTAACAAGCAGTATTATAAAACAATTTATTAGCTATTAGAATAATACTTATTGAGCTTATAAATGTGATCTATTGAGCTTAAAAATAAGACTTTAATTAAATAAACTATTATATCAACACACATTTTTATAAGGATAAACATGTGGCTTATTTGATGAACAAAAGAATAGACCAAGACATCACCTAATCATGTATCAACTAAATTTACAATTGAGTCTTAAATATATAGATTATAATAAGCTTTATTGAGTTTCTTAAGCTTTATTGAAGATAATAGTTTTTACCAAAAGAGTTTTCATGTGCTTTCAGTATTCTAAGCTTCCTGTTTTCAATTCTTTGCAGTAAGCTGGCACTTGGTTTTCCTCAGAGAACAATGTTTGACAATATTGATGATGCTGGTCTGTCCTTTGGCATTTACTACCAAAACATCCCTGCTGTACTCTTCTACCGCAACCTTCGCAAATTAAAGTACATTAACAAATTCCACTCCTATGATCTCTCATTCAAAGCTCATGCAAGCAGCGGAAATCTTCCAAACTATACAGTAATCGAACAGCGATACATGGACTCTAAGAATAGACCTGCCACTGACGATCATCCTTCGCATGATGTTTACCAAGGACAAATGTTTATCAAGGATATTTATGAAACTCTGCGTGCTAGCCCTCAATGGAATGAGACTCTCCTTATCATTACTTATGACGAGCATGGTGGCTTTTTCGACCATGTTCCTACCCCTGTGAATGGGGTCCCAAATCCTGATGGAATTATTAGTCCAAGTCCTATGAATTTCAAATTTGATCGCTTGGGAGTGAGGGTACCTACCATCATGGTTTCTCCCTGGATTGAGAAGGGTACAGGTGAGTGAGCTGTTGAATTTTGCTTCTTTTTAGGAAGATTGCTTGCATACCACTCAAATCCAATGTATTTACTAATCTAACACCTAACCTTCAACTTTATCTATGCCACATTTTACCTAAC